TGTGTCTTATTTTTCTTTTAATCCATTCGGTCACTCTTTGTCTTTTGACTGGAGAATTCAGCTCCAGGCTAAGTAAATAGGCCTTTTTCATAGGAGACTGCGATTATTTTTCAGTCTGCTGTCTGTGCAGTGCCCTGGGTGTGGCGGCCTGCCAAGAGCTATCTCTCCAATTGTTACAGTCTCATATAGCTCTGGATCACCAGTTCTCTTGGCCACAGGGCCAAACAATCAAGGTGTTTCCTCTGTGTGGATCGTGTGCACATGCTAGCTTGAGCATGGCAGCTGTAGAGTGTTTGGGGTAGGGAATGCTCACCAGCTTCAGAAAGGTACTGGGAAAATGTCTTGATTCTACTTGCCCACAGGCTTCAGCAGTGCACTGGGAGAGTGCCTTGTCTATGCACATGCACTAGGAGAGTGCCTTGTCTATGCACATGTGCCAGCTTTAGGCTGGGAGCAGGAGAATGCCATGACCACTCATGCTTGCTAGTCCCAGCTAGGGAGTGGGGGAGTGTCACAACAACCTACCCTCAGACTTTAGCTAGGGACTGGGAGAATTCCATGACTGTTTGTGCTACCCTGCCCCAGTGAAGGAGTAGGGAAACATTGCACTCACCCACACTTTCCAGCCTCCACAAGTGCTGTGACTTGTCGCCCCTCCCAGTCCCAACAAAATGATGGGAGGGTACCATGTTCAAGCTTACCTGCCTGTGCTAGCAGGCTGTGTGGAGGGTGTAACAATGGCATCTACCATCACCCTGCCTCCAGGGAGCATCTTAACTGTCCTCTGTCCCTCCAGCAGATGCCCCCAGATCAGCAAATGAATCTCCCTCACATATAGTCTTGGAATTTTTCAAACTGCTGTTTTTTGTTTTTTGTTTTTTTGCTGGGTCTCAGAGTAAGTGAAACTGCATGTGAGCCTTCCAAGAGGAGAATCAATTTCCTATAGCACTTTGGCCCCCTGGTGTCAACCCCATTGGTTTTTTAAGCCAGATATTCTGGAAACTCATGTCTCTGGTGAAGATCCCAGGAACCAGGGTTCCCTATGTGGGACATTAGCCCTTCATTCCTTCAGGAGAAGCACCTGTCTGATGAGATCTTTCCCTATTCTGTGTCACCATACAGGGGCAGGTGGTGTGTGTGTGTGTGTGTGTGTGTGTGTGTGTGTGTGTATGTGTCTGTGTCTCTGCCTCTCCTACCTGTCTCAGTGTGGTCCTTTTAGCCTTCATTGTGGAGAGCAGTTCATCTAGTTTTCATATCTTTTTAGAGGGAAATGATCCATATGTAGCTATAAATTCGGTGTGTCCATGGATGGAGGTAAGTTCATGATTGTCTTATACTGGCATCTTGGACCTCCCTCCCAATTTTTAAATATTATAACCTTCCTAGTGTGTGTGAAATGGTATCTCATCGTGGTTTTGATTTGCATTTCCCTAATTACTAATGATGTGTTTATTAGCTATTTGTATGTCTTTATTGGCAAAATGTCTATTCAAATTCTTTATCTAATTTTTAATTGGGTTATTTGTATTTTTGTTGTAAGAGTTCTTTCTATGTTCTGATACCAGACCTTTATCAAATATATGATTTTCAAATATTTTTCTCTTTTCCTCTGGTGTGCCTTTTCACCTTCTTAATAGTATTTTTTTTTTTGCAGTAGAAAACATTTCTAAAATTTTTATATAGTCCAATTTACTCTTTCTTTGTTGCTTGTGCTTTTGGTGTCATATCTAAGAAACCACTGCTTAACCGACTTCTATATGGTTCTAATCTCCATAACTGACCAAAAGAGCTCAAACACATTCATTCAACAGACATATGTGACCACTTACTATGTGCTAGGCCCTAGTCTAAATACTGGAGATTGTGAGGAACAGGATAGTGGAGACAGATTGCTAGCTGATCTCCAACATTCAAGTTCTCCTCTTCTTTTTGCTGTTAGGTGTGGCTCTGTGAATTGTTGCCAATGAAATGTGAATAGGAGTAATGCATGCTCCTTTCTGAGCCTGGCCCATGTGCCTTCCTCCATGTTCTTTTCTGCCTCTGCAGTTGGAATGGAGATGGCCTCAGGAGTCCCAGCAGAGCTGGCAATAAGTGCTATTTTGTCGCTTACCTCAATGGGGTTGTGACAAGTTTTAAATATGGATATGAATATTTAGCGTAATTCCTACATAGAGTTAATGGTCAATAAATGTTAGTTTCTATAATTATTACAGGCTTTGGATGCTACAGTAATCAGCTGGGCTGGGGAAAATATAAGAAACCCTACATAATTCAGCAGATAGTGCAATTAGGTCTGCTCTCCTATCGACTGTCAGGCTTGCTGACGCTAGCGGTCTTTTCTCTTACACAGTTGTTCTGTTGATGAACCAGGATAATTCTAAGCTACCTTAAACAATATTTAAAGAACCATAATTTGGGAAATACTAATCTAGTGAAAAGCAGCTTAAACTAAAAACAACACGAGAAGCTTGGTTATAATGGTTATGAGAATTCTAAATTGTGCTTAGAACATCTTGCATATACACAGGATGATTTTCTAAGATAGCCCCATCACTTCTCTTCCCTTACGTACCTGTATCTGATAAGAAAGCCCTGGTAGTCTCTTCTATGGGACCAGTAGCAAGTTCAGACCATGTAAGCCCTGACCTCTGTGCGAGAACACTCACTCCAGCTTCATTCCCTTGCCACCACAAAAACCAAGTCAGCCTCCTTTCTCTGCTCTCTCAAACCATTCTTGAACCTGTTTGAGAGGCTGCCCTGCTCTCGCCAAAAGGCCTCATTATGTGACCAACAAGCTTTCTCATACTCTCATACTTTCTTGGTCAATGTGTCATTAGTCTTGACATCCAAATCAAATTTTGGGTGAAGGATTCATTCTGTCCCTGTGGAGTGATCACAGTAATTGGCCCTTGGAGCAAGACATCAAGGTACTTTCCATTGCTACCAAGGGTCTTTTCTTCTCTTGTTTTGACTTCTTAACTGGCTCCACTGCATGCTGGTGATCATGCACTTTGAGCTACTGCCCACTGGCTAGCTTGTACTTTGAAGAGTGATCCTTTGTGCTACATTTGTGAATTCTATGGAGAGTCTGCTAAAGATTTGACCAACATAAGTCAGTTTAGCAAATTGGCATAAGGGACAAGGTTATTGGATTGGAGCCCTCCTTAAAGCAGTCATGGATCATGTGTCTAATCCTGGACCTATCTGTGAGTCTCAGATTAAATCACGTGTCTCAATTGCAAAGTACTACATGACTGACACTAAGCTCAAGAGAATAACTCTTACCTTGTAAATATTGGTTGTATTTCAACCAGGTGTTGGCCCCCTTTCTGTATAGAGCTAAGAGGAGAGGCTGATAGTCTGTTTAATATATAGGCTCATTGGGTGGTCACTCATGTGGAGGAAGAACAGTTACTATGCGGAATGCTGAAGTCACACTTCTAAAAGCAGAGGACTCACTAGGGCCTTACACAATGTTTCTGCTGCTGTTTATACCTCTCTCTCTCTTTCTCTCTCTCTGTCTCTCTCTCTGTCTCTCTCTCTCTCTCACACACACACACACACACACACACACGGGAAAGTTGCCTGGTAGAACCAAGTGTTGGAGAGAAGTGTGATAATTCATGTTTCTAATGATACTTAAATTTGAGCACAGTAGCTCAGAGGGATTTTAGGTAAGACATCCAAAATATTAGGCAATGTGTTACATTATCCACAGAAGCCAGCTGTATACATATGTATACAATGGAGTATTATTCAGCCATGAGAAAGAAGGAAATCCTGCTTTTTGCGACATGGATGGACCTTGAGGCAGTATTATGTTAAGTGAAATAAACCAGACAGAGGACAAATACTTCATGGCATCACTTATTTGTGGAATCTAAAAAGAAAAGAAATAAAATCAAACTCATAGAAACAGAGAATGGAAAAGATTGCCAGGGGCTGAAGAGTGAAGGAAATAGGGAAAGGTTGGGAAAAAAAGGTACAAACTTTCAGCTATAAGATTAATAATATCTGGGGATCTAATGTAAAAAACAAAACCCAAAAACCAAATAAAATACCCCCAAATTGTCAAGGTCCTCAAAAACAAATCATCTAAAAACTGTCACAGCCAAGAGGAGCCTAAAGAGGCATGACATGTTGACTAAATTTGATGCGGTATCCTAGATGGTAGAATAAGGACATTAGGTAAAAACTAAGGAAATCTGAATAAGGTACAGACTTTAGTTGATAATACTTTCGTTGTTGGGGCACGTGGCTGGCTCCGTCGGTTAAGTGTCTGACTGGCTCCGGTCATGATCTCATGGTTGGTGAGTCTGAGCCCTGCATTGGGCTCTCTGCTGTCAGAGAAGAGCCCACCTGGGTTCCTCTGTCCCCCTTTCTCTGCCCCTCTCCTACTCACACCCACACGCCTGCACTCTCTCTCTCTCTCTCTCTCTCTCTCTCAAAAATCAACAAACACAAAAAAAATTTTTTAAAGTAATAGTTTCACTGTTGGTTCACTAAGTGTAACAAATGTATCATACTAATGTAAGACATTAATAATAAGGAAAATTGGGCATGGGGTATGTGGCTTTTCTGTTATTTTCACACTTACTCTGTATATTTAAAACTGTTCTAAAATTAAGTTTATTAAGAAGACACAAAATACCAGGTAGTGAGTTCTGGGAGATGACAGAGTGGAACACTGAATGGGAGTGGCCATGAGGAATGACTTGGAGGAATCACCTTCTCCCTGCCATGTGTTCCATAAGAATTAAACCAGAGGATATGAGAAAGAATAACAGATCAGTTTGAGAGGGCTCTTTAGGGGTTGTTGAGAAAGCTCCCCCTTTCTCTAACCAGAGCATCTAGACTCTGCTTTCTTCCCCTCCTCCCATGGATTTGTCAGCGTTCTGTGGTGCTTTGTGATGGCATGTCACTCCAGCGCTACCATTGGCTGGAGTAATTTCCTGCTGACCAATCAAAGCCAAAGGGTGTGGCTCCTTATTGTCCTCAAAGGCTATATAGAGAGAGGTCAGGAACCCTGGAGTGGGCCACTGTTGCTACAACATGGCAGAGATTACTGAGGCTCTGGAGGAGTCTAGCTCATATCCTGAAGCAGAAACTTCAGACCCAAAAGAACAAACTCTGAGCATCGAAGGGAGGGAGCAGACCCCATGTCAACTCAAGGACATAGAGATGGAGAAGGTCAGATTACCCTACTCTTGTACCTCCTCTTCTTCCCCATCGATTCCCCACCCAAGACCCCTGTCATGCCCTTGTCTGGCACAAACCCTCCCCTCAGTATGCACACATTCTTTTAAAGCCTCCCTTCCCATGTATTTTCCATTCTCTTCCCCCAAACCAATGTCTTTATGTGCTCACTTTGTTTTCCTACCAGATAAGGAAGATACTCAGGAAGGTTAAATTAGTCCGGAAACTGAGTATGGGAAGACGAAATAAAGGGAGAAAGTCAATAATGCTAGTCTGTTACCACAGACATGGTAAAAAGAAGAATGAAAATCAGCCAAAGAAGGATTAAGAAAGCCTGTCTCCCACTTCCCTGTGCGTACCAGGAGTCAGAGATCTTGAAGCATCTATTCTGTCTCCATAAAAATCTCTGGGATCAAAATTTTGTGTTAACGGTTGTCTGTGAGAGGACCAAATAAAGTATGCTGATGTTGCTGATTAAAACACCAACAAGTTGCACAAAGGACATGTGTGTGTATTTCTGTGTGTTCTCTGATGATGAGCGGGGAGGAAAGAAATGCAGCAGCAAGTGATTGATAAGGGAGGAGCCAAATGTATGAGAAGGGAGGGAGGTGGAATCCTGCAAGTTTGGGGCCCAGAAGAGCCAGTCCATAGTTAGCTGGACATTGGGAATAAGAACTAGATGAGGACTGGGGACTGAAGACAAATTTCCTCTATAACACTTTATCCCCCTGGAGAATAAGAAAGGACTTGCTACAACATCAGTGGGTCCAGATGGGGAGAGGGGTGATGTATGGGGGGGGGGGGTGGCAGTGTGTAATAATGAATCTGATCCCATTTGTGATGTTTTACTCTTGACAGCTTTTAAGCCTTATTCCTTCCTCTTTACCTTCTGGTCCACAACTGGGCAAGCTGATAAAAGCAGCCAGGAAGTTAACTGAGCATAAAATAAAAACAAATAGGTATGAGTGGACTTAACCATCAGAACTGTTGCGTTGCCCAAATTGTCCATCACAAAAGCATTCATTGCCCTAAAACATCCTCTAGTGCACGTGGACAGTCTGACCCAATGAGTAATAAAACGAAGTCCCTGACACTTACCAATTTGAAAAATATACGACCCTATGGACCTTCCTCCCTAGTTAAAAATAACACCTTTACCCCATTTTTTTCTTTAAAAAGGTCCAATCTAATTGAAAACAGGGACTTCAAGGATTGAAACCCATTATATAAGACCTATTTAGACAAGGTGTGATTATTCCTACTGCTTTTACATTTAACAGTCAAATTTGACTGTGTTCTTGAACTTGGAGTACATGAATGGAATCTCAGTGTGAATTTTTATGCCTTTAATGCCATGGTCCCACCCATTAGAATTCCATATGCAATATTATTGAAATTATTGATTCCATCAGCCATAAATACTTTGCCATCATAGCAAGGTATTTGGCTAATATATTTTATTCAATGCCTATTTCAGCAGTCTCTCAGCTGTAGTTAACCTTCACCTTTTTAAAATTTTTTTAATGTTTATTTATTTTTGAGAGACAGAGCATGAGCAGGGGAGGGGCAGGGAAAGAGGGAGACACAGAATCCCAAACAGGCTCCAGGCTCTGAGCTGTCAGCCCAGAGCCTGACGCATGGCTTGAATTCACGTGCCGTGTGATCATAACCTGAGCTGAAGTCAGATGCTTAACTGACTGAGCCACCCAGGCATCCCTAACCTTCACCTTTAAGGGGACACAATACACCTTTCCCTGGGTACTCAGTGGGGTACCTCTCCCACTCCTGTCATCTCACATAATCTTTGCAGGCAATATCTTAACCACATCTAGCTTTTCCCAGATGTACAGGTATGACGATGACACAACGATGACATCCTTCGAAGAGATTTGACATCACACTGGTGACATCCTTTGGGGAGATTCATATGGCACACTTGTTCAGGACACAAAATATCCACAAAGGAACTCACGAGCGAGGACGCCCCATTACCTCCACATATAGTACAAGGCTCTACCACCTCAGTTAAATTCTTGACAATTGTTTGGTAAGCCAAGGGCTGTTCCAGTCCTGACAGTGTCGAGAAACAATTGGTAGCCTTCTTAGTACCCTCATTGTTAAAAGGAGTCTAAAATCTTTTAGACAATTTTTTTGGATTGTGGAGGCAACGTTCCTCATAATAAAAATTGTATCGAAGTCCCTTTGTTCTGTTACTTGAAAATAGGCTCACCTTTTTTTAAATATGAAATGTATTGTCAAATTGGTTTCCATCCAACACCCAGTGCTCATCCCCACAGGTGCCCTCCTCCATGCCCATCACCCACCCTCCCCTCCCTCCCACCCCCCATCGACCCTCAGTTTATTCTCAGTTTTTCAGAGTCTCTTATGGTTTGGCCCCCTCCCTCTCTAACCTCTTTTTTTTTTCCTTCCCCTCCCCCATGGTCTTCTGGTAAGTTTCTCAGAATCCACACAAGAGTGAAAACATATGGTATCTGTCTTTCTCTGTATGACTTCTTTCACTTAGCATAACACTCTCCTGTTCCATCCACGTTGCTACAAAAGCCATATTTCATTCTTTCTCATTGCCAAGTAGTATTCCATTGTGTATATAAACCACAATTTCTTTATCCATTCGTCAGTTGATGGACATTTAGGCTCTTTCCATAATTTGGCTATTGTTGAAAGTGCTGCTATAAACATTGGGGTACAAGTGCCTCTAGGCATCAGCACTCCTGTATCCCCTGGGTAAATTCCTAGCAGTGCTATTGCTGGGTCGTAGGGTAGATCTATTTTTAATTTTTGAGGAACCTCCACACTGTTTTCCGGAGTGACTGCACCAGTTTGCATTCCCACCAACAGGGCAAGAGGGTTCCCGTTTCTCTACATCCTCGCCAGCATCTATATAGGCTCCTGATTTGTTCATTTTAGCCACTCTGACTGGCGTGAGGTGGTATCTCAGTGTGGTTTTGATTTGTATTTCCCTGATGAGGAGCGACGTTGAGCATCTTTTCATGTGCCTGTTGGCCATCTGGATGTCTTCTTTAGAGAAGTGTCTATTCATGTTTTCTGCCCAACTCTTCACTGGATTATTTGTTTTTTGGGTGTGGAGTTTGGTGAGTTCTTTATAGATTTTGGATACTAGCCCCTTATCTGATATGTCATTTGCAAATATCTTTTCCCATTCCGTCAGTTGCCTTTTAGTTTTGTTGATTTTTTCCTTTGCAGTGCAGAAGCCTTTGATCTTGGTGAGATCCCAATAGTTCATTTTTGCTTTTAATTCCCTTGCCTTTGGAGATGTGTCAAGTAAGAAATTGCTGTGGCTGAGGTCAGAGAGGTTTTTTCCTACTTTCTCCTCTAGGGTTTTGATGGTTTCCTGTCTCATATTCAGGTCCTTTATCCATTTTGAGTTTATTTTTGTGAATTGTGTAAGAAAATAGGCTCACCTTGAATGAGATGCCCTGCAACAAAAGGCTCTAGAATCTGTCTAAATTCATATAGAACACGTACTCCTATTAGGCCCCCTAGAGATTCTTTTACTACAGAAGCTTTAACAACCTTCTCTCACACTTCTTGGAGTCCCTTTATGGAACATCCATAATGACCATTAGTTGCCCATGCACTTCTGATACAAGAAATTGCCCTCCTTGGCCCAATGCTGTATGCCATTAGTATGGCATATACTTTCCTGGAAAAATAGACATTCTCAGGTCCTGAACCTATGACTCTCCATTTCTAGCTGTCCATGATGCCTTTGATCATGAGATCAGCACTCTGCAAGCTCGACATGGCTAATAACATCCCCTTGCAACAGGATGGAACCAAAACTGGGCTTTCTGCATAACCCACCTATAGGAGAGGGTTAACTTCCCCTGTCCTCAATCTTTTGCCAGATGCCGTAGTGCTAGAAGAGATTATCTCTCTCTTAAAAACTTTGAATACCCGGGAGCCCCTTAAGATCAACAGAGTGAATACCAAAGGGAGTTCATTCACTTAACCAATGATATTATCACTGTCACACTTAATGGAGCTTGCTTGAGAGCTGCTGCTCTTCCTCCCTCAATCAGGATGTTCCTGACAAAGGACAGGACCCAAGGGTTAGTTCAATTGGCCTAACTTTAGGAAGTCCTCTTAGCACTGGATGTCTTGGCCAACAATTGGCATCATCTGCACAGATCTTTGGATCAGTGCCAATGGTCTGACCATCTGGTCTGGCCAATGCAAACAATGTCTTATCTAAAGTTGTCTCATTTGGGGTAAAGAACCCTTAGAATCTCTTGCTTCACAAATACCTAAAATACAAATTAAGGTCACACATTTCTATGCACATATTAAAGACACAATACAAAGTCTCACCATGGCACTGCTTATCATCTTTGGAGTTCCACACATTGATAACGACCAAGACATTCATTTCAGTCCTCAGAATATACAATGGTGGGCTCATGAACAAAATATTCAGTGGAATATAACCTCTCTTACTGATCTCAGGCTGCAGGTTCCACAATGGCTTACATAAACAAGTCCAAATTACGTTAAATATACCATGAGATATTTTAGTTATCAAACATCAGGGATGAATTGTAGTAGAGCCTGACTCCATTCTTTTCAGGTTTACTGAAGTAAAACAGACAAATAGTGTATGCATTTAAGGTGTTCAATTTAGGGTTTTGATATACATACATATAGTGAGATAACGGCAACCACCTAATTATTCATCACTTCACATAGTTACTATTATTTGTTTGACTCTATTTTTGATGCATAACTCATTGTGTGAATAATAATCCTTTTTGTACCTTCTTGGTCTATGTGTGGCATCATTAGTCTTGAAATTCAAACCAAATTTTGATTGGGGCAGTATACATCCCACTTCTGCAAGCTCACATACTCCACATAAAATCAATGTTATAGATAGATAGATGATAGATAGATAGATATAGGTAGATACAAAGATGGAGAGATAGATGATATGTAGATGATATATAGATTTGATATAGATAGAGAGAGAGAGGTAGATAGATAGATAGATATTAGGCATGTGGATATGGCACTTTAAGAAGGATACTGGTATTTCAGGAAACAAATATGTCTTGAGTGCCTACTATGTATCAGACATTGTTCTAGGTCCTGAGCTTACAGTGAAGAACATAAAGTCTGATTCCCTGCCATCAAGTAATTACATTTTTTATGGGAGAAGAGGTAGTTAAGAGTGTTGGTGTGGGGCAGAGGACAGCTGCTTTAGGTAGGGGGTGTGGGGAAACCTTTTCTGAGGAGTTAATATTTGAATTGAGAACTGAATAATGAGATAGTTGAGATAATTGAATAATGAGATAATTGAGAACTGAATAATGAGAACAATGCGATGGTGAAGACTTTAAAGGAGAACATTTTCGGTAGAAAAAACAGCAAGTAGCAATGCTATGAGGTAAGAACAAGAACAATGTGCTGAGGAATAGAAAAGGGCGAGTATAACTGGAGTACGGAGACAGGGGTAGAGTAGAGAT